GGGGGGGGGGGGGGGGGAGAGCTCCCCGGCGGAGAGACTCGTTTATATTTTTTTCGTAATATTTTTTTAACATTTTTGTTTAATTTCCGAATTTTAAAATTACACACTGGTCGTGTGAAGTAATTAGTGAACTCTCAACGCTAGATAAAGTGTAAAAATGAAAGGCGAGTCGTGCGCCATGCGCGCTGTCGACGGCGTAGGGCGGCTCATGAAATTCTCCCCGGGTGTTCTGTCGGGGGAATTGGAGGTACGGCAAAAGAACAAATGGAATGAGAGAGAGAGAATGGAGACAGGAATTCGGAAATGGTTGATCAAAGACTACAAAAAACGTACGATTTGTGTCATCTTTATTCCCGTTTGTGACATCCACAAGCCACGTTGTCTCAATTCTCTCTATTAAGGGACTCTACATCATGGTACATACACGCACAGACACACACGGTCTCCTCGTGAACCACGCATGCGGTAGGAACGCGCATGCTGCGCAAATTGTATAACCGGTCGTCTGAAGGCGCTTTAAACGAGTCGTCGCGTTCGCGAAAGCTAGATACCATCATCGCCTTGGCCGGGTCAGTAACTCGTGTTCCGCGGTGAGTGCCCGCGAAAACTGGGATCGCGAACTCAATCCGCGTACCTGTTTGGCGCGGCGGGGGCGCGCTATTTTGGTCGCGGTTATTTTTAATACCATCCCCTCTTCTCCCTCAAATTTTTAATTTTAAACTCATTCGACTGACTGATGGCTCCCAAATAAACCGGCTTATTGTCAGTTCTATTTCCGCGTCGAGCAAACACGTGTTTCCTCACCAAGAATAAAACTTCAACGAAATTCATGTGACCAAGAAAATATAATCAAGTTGGACCGGAAAATTCAAGCAACTGAGTGGAGTTACCGTTAAGGGTTAGTGAAAAAAAAATGGAAAGGAGACAGGAGCGTAGGATAAGAAATAGGTCGAAACCTTATTGTGTTGGCAGTGGCGTAGCTAGGAATTCTTTAAGGGGGGGGGGGGGGC